ACAAGAAAAACACAGAATGAACAGATGGGAAGTCTTCTCCGATGAGGTAACATTTTCCACTAAATCTTTTGACAGGCAAGGAGGAGTTTATGTGTGAAGGAAAGGAAACTATTCTGGTTAGAGAGAAAAGTACAGAGAAATGAATTAGCCTCAGAGATTTGGGGACTTCGTGGCATGATCATTGGACAAATGAAAAACCTGTGGGTCTGGTCCCTGTAAAAAAAACAGCATTAGCCCTGGCTGGTGTGGCTCAGTGGATTGAGCGTCAACCTGTGAACCAAAGGGTCACTAGTCCGATTCCCAGTTTAGGGCACATGCCTGGGTTGCAGGCCAGGTCCCCAGTGAAGGGCGTGCTCGAGAGGTAACCACACATTGATGTTTCTCTTCCTTTCTTTCACCTTCCCTTCCCATCTGCCTAAAAATAAAAAGTAAATAAAATCTTTAAAAAACAACCCCAAAACCTAGCATTAACATTCAACAGCTTTCAACTTCCCACCAATTTACTTCAGCGATCCATTTCCACGGTCATACCCTGGACCTTGTTCTTATTTCTTTACTTGTTCATCAGGTATTTATTGAATGCCTACCTATGTGTGCTAGGCACTGTTCTGGTCCTCAGGGGGCAGTGGGGAAAGGAGAAATGAGATTCCTGCTCTTGCAATGTACAAACAAGTCAGGAAATGCCAACAACAAACAAGAAAAACTGAGAAACAGCAGATAGTCATACGAGCCTGCACAGAATTAAACAGGATTATGTGATCAGGAGTTACTTAGATTGGGTGGTTAAAGGGGACCTGTATGATGAGTTATTGTGTGAGCTGAGACCCGAATGACCAGAAGGAATAAGCAATATGATGAGTTGGTAAAAATATTGTAGTCTGAGTGTATAATTACTGTGAAGGTCAGAAAAGAAGACCAGGAAGAAGGCCAGTGGACAGATGTACGGTGGGCAAATAGGGAAGTGGTTATGGGACGATGTCAGGAAGGGAAGCAGTGGCCAAGTGAAGGGGAATCCAGGCCGGGGTAGCAAGTTATGATTGTATTGTAAATGCAGTGGGAAGCCATCAGAGTGGGATGATCTGATTGATGGCTTTGAAAGGTTATTCTGGCTACTCTGCCACAAATGAGTTGTGAGGGGCCAGGGCAGAAGCACGGTATCCAGTTAAATAGTACTTGCGAGGCATAGTGGCCAAGGTGATTCGGACAAAGGTGGTAGGAAGAAGCAGAAAGGTGGATGTTTGGGATACATTTTGGTGGTGAAGTAAACAATCCTTCTGAGTTTTTATTTGGGTAAACAACACAGATGGTGGTTTACTTTACTGAGATGGATAGGAACAGGCAGAATTGGTTGTGACAGTGCAACAAGAGTTTCGTTGTGGTCAGGGTAAGTTTGGGATACACAGATGGAAATGTCAGGTAAGAACATGTGAGCCTGGAGTTCTGAGGGAAGTCAAGCACTGCTACCTTGTCCCTGTGCAAATTCTGCACATGTCGAGTTAAGCAGTACAGGATGTGTGTGGCCTAAAGAATGTCATGAGCATAGATTTGGGAACCGCAGGTCTGTAGATAGTATTAAAGCTACAGGAATGAATGAGATTTCAGCACACTTCAGATGATGATTTTTAACAGTTGCTCAAAATGAAGCAATGATACAGAATTTTCAAATTTCATCTTTAATTCCTTATCAAGAGCCAGTTCAAACAATTCTTTTGATGGACAGTAAAATTCGAGGCATGCTCTCAAATTTGTAAATTATTCATTGTTATGTTTTCACGTGTACAATACCCTGATTACCTATGTCATTCGTGATTGTTTACATCAGTCACCTACTATCTCTTCAAATACTTTCATGATTTTTGTTGCTTTTCATTATTATCATTTTTTTACATTTAAGTCTTTTTCCATCTGGAATATGTTTTAGTACAAAGTGGGAAGAATCTAAATTTATTTTATTTCAAATTTTAGCCAGCTATCCCCAAACACTTAACATATAAACAAACCTAGGCTTATTGATCTAAAGTGTCATATACTAGGTTCCCAGCGGATCCTAGGACCTGTTTCTGGAATCTCCGTTCTGTTTCTAGTGATCTTACGATGACCCAGGTCATGCTTTTATATCAAATTCAAACTGCATATAGATTAAAAAAATTCCATGTTACAAATCTGTGCATTTATCAAGTTGCAGTGAAAAATGCTTTGCTAGTGTTCCATGAAGTTCTTCCATACCATAAGCCAATTCCTGTGTCACTGAAAAGTTACACTTTAGTTAACTTCTCTGCTTCATATTCTGTCAACATTTCCAGGCAAATGTTTTTAGAAAATGTAATTTTTTATAGATTAATTATAAACCTATTTTATTTTTATTTGATAAAATAAAGAAGATTATAAAACACTGTCAGAGTTTATGTAAAAGGAAATATATGGAAAATAGCCAATTCTATAAAACAATTATGGAAAGAGGACTTTTCACTACCAAATGTAAAACATGATAATATGAAGGAAAAACTATTTTTTCATCTCCATTACTACAAACACAAGGAGTTTTATAATGTAAAAAACTATGACTTATTATATTGTCAACAAATGTGGTCTGGAGTTTAAGTTTGGTCACGAATAAGTTCTGATGATCCAGCTGTTAGAACAGGAAGAGGTCCTAGAGTCGTTTTCAAGATTCATGAGCTGCACCAATGTGTAAATTGACACATTGCCTCCTTCAAAAAGCCAGTTGAACTAAAGAGTAACATAAAATAGAAAATTTTTAATCAGTGTGTTAAATATAAGATTATGCTATTATGTGAAGGTGTAGAAGAAGCTGATAAATTCCTGTTGTTACATGCTGAAGAACGGTGGTTATCAGGGGAAAGTTCTGTTAAGAGATTATAAATTCTCAGTTTTCTGCAAGGCATGAAACCAGTTGGGTCTAACTTCTAAAGAATTTTCTACTCTTTGAAGATGTTAATCATAATCCCTGTAAGAGAAATGCAACTGGCTTTTTAATGGTAGATAATATCAAAGGCCACCTGGATGTCATAAGCACCTTAAATTTACATGTCCACAATCAAAGTCACTACTTTTTTCCCACACCTCACCTTCATACTTTTCTTGATAATTATACCACCTCTACCTTGTAACCTAAACCAGAAATACAAAAATCAGGCTTTGCCTCTCCCTTGCCTTCTATATCTGATTGCCATGCAAGTTGTGTTGATTTTACTTGCTTATCTCACATATGCTCCTTCTATTGGTCTTGATTGCTTTTATCTTGAGTGGAGCGCTTATCTTACCTTGAACTTCTTTCTCTTCATTAAGCAATCTCTTCATCATCTGTCCACCAGAGTATCTTTACCAATGCAAAGTTCCTCATGTTATTTTTCTATCAAAAGCCTCTCTTTTGTGGGCTTTCCTTTACCCATAGGAGAGACTGTAGTCTTCAGAGTGGCATCCAAAGCTCTTCCATAATGTGGCCCCTGTTGTCTGTAGCTTCAGGTCTTTACACCCTCCTAGCATACCTCACTCCAACCACACCTGACTGCCTGGGGTGCTCGGAGCCCTCTGTTTGGCTTCGGGTCTTGCTGCCTTCACTTCCCCTTGGAATGTCCTCCCACCATTTTTTGGACAACCTAATTATCTTTCAAGATTTAGTTCAAAATTCATCGCCTTTAGCGGTGGCATTTTCTATCATCATCCGCCCACAGAATAGTCATATTCTCCCGTTGTATTCCTGCTGTGGACCCCCTTTTTACTACAGCACCCACAAAACTGTTTTACTTATTTGTTTGTCTGCTTCCCTAACAGACTGGAAGCTCTTTAAGTCAGGGACCTTACATATATTTTTTTCTGTTTTCCTTAGCTTCTAGCAATGCCTGCCTAACTTAGGCACTCTGTAAAAATTCTCTGAGTGAAGGAGTTAATAAGTGAGAAATCTCAGGGGCATGATGGAATGGGTTGTCAGAGCATGCAATAGTGTTAAAACTGGTCAAGAGGAAGACCCAGGGCAATACAGTGATAAGAGGAAGGAAAATAGAAATTTATTAAGGGGACGTGGCTTTGTGTGGTGATTGAGAATGGAGGCATGGTGTGAGCAACTGGCTTTAAACTTCTGATTAGAATTCTGGTATAAGGTTATTCCATTGCTATAGAAGTTCAGGTGGCAGCTGAGATCAAATGAAGTTAGCTAGATATCATCTAGTTTGCAAATATTAGCACATATGCCAAATTTTTACAACGGAGCTTCATTTATCTAGCGCTTTACAGTATGCAAAATTTTCTGCTTTATTATTTGACCCTTGGAACAGTTAACTCCCTAAGCTTCCATTTCCTTTTTGATAAAATGAAGATAATAGCTCTTAGGATTGTTTGCAAGGTATATTATATGTCTGGCACACAGCTGAGTCCTAAATATGTTGTTAGATTAGAAATGTATGACCTCTGTTTGTTAAATGACTTGATCAAGGTCACAAAGATAACTTGGTGGCAGATTTAGGTATAAATTCTAATCATCTTGTCCTCCACCTGTAGTATTTTTATTACACTCCAATATAATGAGATCTCTTAATGAGATATCTTGTATTTACTTGGCACACAGCACCCTGAGTTTGCTCGAGAGGTTTACTCAAAAGTAGGCTTTGTAATTACTCTATCAGAGAGCTGATCGCCCAAATCAAGCAAAATCTATAACATGTCAAAAAACAAAATGGAAATATAAACAATGTTTTTATAGTTTGCATTGCTTCCTAGTGTCTCTGTTTTACACTTGACGGTTTTCAGCAGAGAATCTGAGCAGGCTGTCTCCTGACTTCCTGAAGTTCTGTGAAGATGTGCTCTCATTTCAACTGACTTTTCAAATGTGGTTTTTAAGCCCAGTATTATGCCAGAGCAAGTATCAGTTTGGGGCCTTAGAATTAAGGTAACAGGCACCAGCTGTGGGGCGGGAACAGCAGGAGAAGGACTTTGAGCCGAATACTGACAGCTACACACATCTGTCCTTGTGTTTTCTGTAGGATTCTGTCCAGGAAGAATCTGAAGACACAAAGCGTAAACTGGAGATGAAATTACTAAGTGAAATAGTTTCAGCAGGTAGTCTTCTAAGTTACATTTTTAGAATTTAACTTTATTGGGATTTGCTGCTTACAAAAGAAATGCAAGGTTGTTGTAAAAAAGTTCCAATGTTGCAGAAATATATTTAAAGTGAAAATCCTTCATATTTCTTTTATTTGTGCTTGATCCCTCTCCTGTTTCTCTCTTGATTTTTAATAAAACCATGGGATCATATCATACAAATATTTTTGTTGAAAATTACTTTTTTCAACCTAACAGTATTTGTTATGCTACATACATTCTACATACACACATAGAACATAATACACATACTACTTAAATGAATAAGATTCAACATAACTCTAAGTCAGGACCCATTGGCAACTCTATCTTTTTAGTAGCTCTATAATTCCATCCAATAATGGAGCATTATTTAAATCTTTATTGATAGGCAGTAAGGTTATTTTAAATTTTTTATCATTACAAACAGTGTTGTAGCAAACCTTGACAAGCACACATATACAATCAGAAATTTCTCAGTCTAATTCTGACAAATAGCAATTAGATATCATTTAAAATGTCAAAATGATAGTGATGTATAATTTTCAATCTTTTGAGATTAATTGCAAAGTTTGAGGTTAATGTACATCTTTTCCATTAACTTTATCATTATGCTGCTTTCCCAGTAGCTTCTAATTAATCTATTTTCTATATATTTCTAAGCATACATTTTCATAACAGGCTTCCTGTCTACTTTAATTTTTCCAACACACTTTTATTTCTGCAGTCAACTGGGTTTGTATGTAATTTTCTATAACCTTTATGAGGTAATTTTCCTGTTGAAAATATGACCCCACAGTGAATTCATAACCTTTGTTAATAATACCAAGGTTTTCTACATGAAGATCCCCAATTAACATATATCATAGATGTCTAAATTTGGACATAGTCTGCTTTCTTACTTCTTTTCAGGTAAATGGATTAGTAATTAGGTTCTTTAGAAAATTAATTAAAGCCTGCATTATATTAAATGTACACAAGTAAAAAGGGGGAAAGCACTGAACTGGAATTTCCTTTGGCTGTATCCATTAATGTTCAGCACCTGATCTCCCTGGGTTAAATTCAGTGTCATCTCCGTGGACTTCCTTGTGTGGGTGAGGATCATTGTAATGCTCAGTAATAAGGTCACCATTCCTGAGTTTTTACTCTGTCTGGCACCAGTTGTAAGCTCTTTACATGCATGAACTCACAATTCCCCCTAATTCTGTTAGATACTACTATCATATCCACTTTGTAGAGGAAGGAGCTGAGATGTTAATTAGCATATACTGCATAAGGGTGGAATCTGCCCCCTTTCTTACTCATTGCACTGTATTAAAAGAATTTTAGTGGAATATAGGAATAGTCCCAGTGATATACGTGACTTCTGATAGTGCATTGGAAATTATGGAACCATATAGAATTTCCCCATAAAATATCTTTTCCCCAAAAGATAACCCAATCCAGCTTCTTCACTGTCAAGCTTCTGTCCCTGTTTTTCTATGAGCTGGGGCTCTTTTTGTTGAGAAAAGATATTAGCTTTTATTTTATATATGGACCAAAATTTATTTTTTTACCATTTCATTTTTTTGTTTCAGCTATTTAGCTCCATGAGGTTGAATTTTAAGAAATTAATTTTGCAGTTATCAAATTTTGTGTGAAGCCATTTTTGACCTTTTGGAATAAAGGGTAGCAGAATATAGTGCCCCCAAATATGCCATGTTGGCGTAGGGATTATTTTGAGCTGAAAGCAGTGGAAAAGATACAGATGCAAGAAAAGCTCCCTATCCTTCCATTTGCTTACAAGCAGGATGTAAATATTCAGAGTAAATATGCCTCCTCTCCTCACTACTGGGAAGGACGAGGCTTAATAATTATCAGAGACAACTGTAGATCCCATTAGCCTGGAGGGGGGACCAGAGGAATTGACCTAACAAACCAGGAGCTGGCCTTTGTCTCTACCCTCAGAAACCTCAGACTGCTTTTCTTTGCCTGTCATTTTACTGCAAATTTGCAAGTCGCCATGGAAGCTGGAGTTCTAAGCCTCCTCTTCAAATTACTTACTTTTCCCTGGGGATATTTCATGTATGCGTGAGACATGCATGTTAATAAAATTCTGTTTTTCTCTTATTAATATGTCTTTTACTACAGAGGTCTCAGGCAAGAAATCACAAGAGGGAAAATTATTGTCCCTCTCCTGCAATAAGATATATTTTTTAAGTTTTTCTTTTAATAACACGTGTTTCTTCTATACAAATTCCGTAGCCTTCCCTGTACCCTGTTACACGTGCCTGTTCCCACTCCAGCGGTTGATCAGCTTTGTGAATAGTGTTGAATTAATTACTTTTTGGAAAAGTTTTAGTAGCTAAGTAAAAACTTCCTTTACCATCACTAGATATTTTTCATTTCCCTCCCCCCCCAAAATACAAAAATGTTATGATCTGTTTAGAAACTCAACTAATCTGATTAATTTTAGCACAGTTGCTGCTGCTAGAGAATGCTCCTGAAAGGACATATTTCTTTGAAGAAAATGAGGTTGATATATTCCAGTTCACGTCTCTGGGTGGAGTGTATCACTTGGATATTTTGGAGCTTCCCCCACAGTGTAAGCCAGTGAAGGGCTGGATGATCATGGAAGTAGGTTGATTTTTTAAATTTGTGAGTAAAATAATTTCTCACTCTTTTCCTTTATCTCAAATGCACTAACACCCAATGAACTTTAACTCTATTAAGCAAGCACAAAAGGAAAAAATATAATTTTAAACCATCTTGAATTTATAAAATTTGAATCAGTACAAAAGGGATGGAATAAAAAATAATATGGATTTTAAAACTAGAATCATGCACGTTAACTTAATTGGGAACCTATAGCACTGTGTTTGCATTGGGTCAGTTGCATTGGGTCACTTAATAATGATAGTCTGTTTCAGAGGCTGGAAAACTTTTTCTTTAAAGGGCCAGGTGGTAAATATTTTCATCTTTGCTGCCGTACAGCTCTGTTGCAACTTCTCTGCTCTGCCATTGCGATGCTGAAACAGCCATATGTTAATGAATGGGCATGGGCGTGTTCTAGTTAAACGTTATATACAAAACAAGGGTGGTGGGCTGTGTTTTCCAGGGACCGTAATTTGTGGGCTCTGGTCTAGATGAGCGGTTCCCTACATATGGTCCCTTGACCAGAAACATCAGTACCGTCTGGCATCGTCTAGGACTTCACTAGAAGTGCAAATGCACGGGTCCCACCTCAGTCGTGCTGAATCAGAAATTCTGGAGGTGTGAGACTCAGCAGCCTGTGTTTTAGCAAAACACACCTAAAGAACCACTGGTCTGGATCCTTGATGTACAAAATGTGGTCTATCAGTCAGAAGCATCTAAATGCCTCATTTGGGGCTTCACTCTGATCTCCTGAACCTGCATTCAGCACGACCCTTGGGGGATTCATATGCACACTGAGGCTTGAGAAGCACGGATCCAGGTGTTGCCAGTGCTCCTGATGCTCGGACCACATTTGGTGTAGTGAGGACGCTGATAATAGCAGCTGTTAGATCATCCATCACGGAGTTTCTCACTCCTGTTTTAACAAGTAGTAAGATTTGCACTAGTACTGACTTGGTTTCACTTGACCTCACGGCTGCCCTTCTCTTCTCTCTTCTTTCTCCTCGAGCACGTCAGGTACGTAGATTGCCAGGCACGTCTTGACTATATTTTAGGACATCGGCGCATTCTTGTATTAGAGCAGTATTCTCAACTTTTATTTTTCTCTCATTATCACCTCTCTAAGGAGCTCTTGTAAATATTTTTTTTCTAGCCAATGCCAACCTCACCCCCACTATGGAATTTTAATGCCAAGGGGGACTGTATCTGTGTGCACGTTGTGTACATTTTTGCTTTATACATAAAAGAGTAAGATTTCTCCATACTCTCCCAAACTGATCTTTACCCTATTGGGGATGATATTGTCATTCCTTTCCCCCTTTCCCCTCAAACAAGAATGCATTTATTGGAGCAAACCTGGGGGAGATAATTTGATCTGTTGCCACTTTGAAAAATCTGTTTTGATCAGCCTGCCCTGCCTTGGGGATACTTGAAGGATAGTGGGGAGTCCAAGGAAGTTATTCCTGTGGTGAAGGTAGGCCTTCAAAACTTTGTTTACAGGAAGGTCTTGGCCTGATCCGGGTTTTCAAGGCTTCATCCAAAGGTCTTTGTCGGGATGTGCTAGACGACCACTCTGCTCTCCATCTGAGCCCAGAGTCCCCTCCCTCACACTCGTTTTTTCTCCCCTGCAACAAAGGGGCCTTCCCCCTTGTTTTCAAGTATCTTTTCAATAATTTTCCTTCTCCTCTAGAATTTGTCCCTCATCCAGTTTTTTTCCTCTGTTTTGTAACATTTTTAACTTTTCCTAGATCTTTTTCTACATTTAGGTATGTGTTGCCTTTAGAGAATGGACAGATCTCCCTTATCCCAGAGAAGTTGTTGCTTGGTTTAATTTATTTTATTTTTTTCACCAGCTTTACTGAGATATAATTGCCATGTAAGTCTAAGGTGTACAGTGTGATGATTTTTACTTTCATCCATTCACTTCTATGCTTATTACACTGCTTATGCTTGTTTTTCTCTTCACCTGCACACCATGACCATGGCATTGGGACGTGGGATCTGGGGTCCCAGAGCTGTTTTTGAGTTCTGATGCCTTTGGGAGGTAATTTTGTAATCATTGGCAAATTGCCTTGCTTTTTGTTAGTCCAAGTTACCTTCTTCGGTTTTTAAAAAATACATTTTTAAATTTACAGTTTACATTCAATAATATTTTTGTTTTAGCTCCAGGTGTACAGTATAGTGATTAGGCAGTCACATACATTAGGTGATCCCCCTGTTATTTTCAGTACCCAACTGGTACCATACATAGTTATTACAGTATGTAATGACTTTACATCTCCATGACTATTTGTAACTGCTAATTTGTGCTTCTCAGTCTTTTCACCTTTTTCACCCAATTCCCAGTTACCTTCTTTGTTAACCATAAGCCTGTAGAACTGCTTGGGGAAGTATAATACTGAGTAAGTCCCAGCCTAGAACTTGGCCCATAAAAGGGTTCTTTAATTACATTCAAATGTAGTGATTTTTTCCCTTCTCAATCATTATCTTTTAATTTTGTTGTGATATTTTGTTAGTTTGTCTATAATGAAATGGCAGTGAACTTTAGTGTGGGGGGCAGGAGCTGAATGGAAGGGGGATAGGGCATGGAAATGGGGGATATCTCCAATAGTGTCAACAAAAATAATAACCATACTATTCAGCATATATTTACATCTTTAACTGTTACTGGCCAGCTTCTAACTTGGGATTGTTATGGCTATTTCTAAAAGATACTCAAAGAAGGATTACAGAAATATGTATATCCTCCAGCAACTACAGAAGACTTGGAAACAGAAAGTGCTTTCCCACCTATAGACGTCTGTCTTGAGGTTCATAAGAACGTGATCTTTTTTGAGAATCCTATGATTGCAAGATGGGATGCTGAAGGTACAGCAACACCTTTATCCAGCTTTGATTATTATGTAATGAAAACAGTATACTAATATAAATCCTTAAATCAATACAGGAAATGCAGTAAGTATTTATATCCTTATGTATTTCTGTACCAGGTCTAGGGTCTATGTTCTACTTTGCTCTCTGTGGAAATAAATAGGGTTTGGAGTTTAAAAATTTATTGAACTTCATGACTCAGTGTTTATACTTGTCATAATCTCTGAAGAATTACAATTCAGATTGGGGGTAAAATTAGATTATTTTAATGTTAATGACTTATCAATTATAAATTTATTAAGTATATTATATTGATTATGCTATTACAGTTGTCCCATTTCCCCCCCTTCCCCTCTGCCCTGCACACTCCTCCCGCCTGCATTTTCCCCCTTTAGTTCATGTGCATGGGTTGTACATAAAAGTTCTTTGGCTTCTAAATTTCATATACTATTCTTAACCTCCCCGTCTATTTCCTACCTACCATTTATGCTACTTATTCTCTGTACCTTTCCCCCCTTTCTCTGCCTCCCACTCCCCCACTAGTAACCCTACTTGTGATCTCCATTTCTGTAATTCTGTTCCTGTTCTAGTTGTTTGCTTAGTTTGTTTTTGTTATTGTGTTTTGTTTTTTTCTTTTTGGTTTGGTTGTTAATAGCTGTTGTCATTTTACCATTCATATTTTTGATATTTTTCTTAGATAAGTCCCTTTAACATTTCATATAATAAGGGCTTAGGGATGATGATCTCCTTTAACTTGACTTTATCTGAGAAGCACTATATCTGCCCTTCCATTCTAAATGATAGCTTTGCTGGATAGAATAACCTTGGATGTAGGTCCTTACCTTTCATGACTTGGAATACTTCTTTCCAGCCCCTTCTTGCCTATAAGGTTTCTTTTGAGAAATCAGCTGATAGTTTCATGGGAACTCCTTTGTAGGTAACTGTCTCTTTTTCTCTTGCTGTTTTCTAAGATTCTCTCCTTCTCTTTAATCTTGGGTAATGTAATTATGATGTGCCTTGGTGTGTTCCTTCTTGGGTCCAACTCCTTTGGGACCCTCTGAGCTTCCTGGACTTCCTGAAAGTGAATTTCCTTTGTCAGATTGGGGAAGTTCTCCTTCATTATTTTTTCAAATAAGTTTTCGATTTCTTGCTTTTCCTCTTCCCCTTCTGGCACCCCTATGATTTGGATGTTGGAATGTTTAAAGATGTCCTGGAGGTTCCTAAGCCTCTCCTCATTTTTTTGAATTCTGTTTCTTCATTCTGTTCCAGTTGAATGTTTCTTTCTTCCTTCTGCTTCAAATCATTGATTTGAGTCCCAGTTTTCTTCCCGTCACTGTTGGTTTCAAGTACATTTTCCTTTATTTCACTTTTCATAGCCTTCATTTTTTCATCTAGTCTGTGACCATATTCAGCCAATTCTGTGAGCATCCTGATTACCAGTGTTTTGAACGATGCATCTGATAGGTTGGTTATCTCTTCATTGTTTAGTTGTATTTTTTTCTGGAGCTCTAATCTGTTCTTTCATTTGGGCCACTTTTTTTTGGTCCTGTATGCCTGTTATGTAGTAAGGGGCAGAGCCTTAGGTGTTCCCCAGGGTGGGCTAACCCATAGCACAGTGTTGTGATGCTGTATGTGGGGAAGGGGTCAGAGAGGGAATGGTGCCACTTGCTCTGCTCTCTGCTGGCTTTCAGTCCCTTCCCCCACTTTTCACAAGCAAAGTGAGCCCTTCTGGTGCTGATTCCTGGGTGGGTGGGTTTGTGTACATTCTTGGACCCCGTGGGTCTCTCCAGTGACCTCTCCTGTGAGGCTGGGAGTTTCTCCTGGCTCCTCAAACCCCCACAGGTGTTTTCAGTCAGAGGTTTGAGGCTTTATTTCCCCAACCTGGGACCCAGCTTGCAAGGTCTGTCTTGCTCCCCAGGTGTTCCTCCCCATTTATCCTCAGGCGAATGTGGGTCTGCCCAGTTCACAAGCTGCCTCCTCCCGGCCCTCCAGAGGCCCAGGGAGTCCTCTCCGCCCAACTGCCTGTCTCCGGCCCTCTACAGGTCTGGGTGAGTGTTCGTTCTTTAACTCCTTGGGTTGTCAGACTTCCACACAGTTCGATTTCCTGACAGTTCTGGTTGTTTTTTGTTTTTAAATTTGTTGCTGTCCTTCTTTTGGTTGTGCAAGGAGGTGCAGTGTGTCTCCCTACACCTCCATCTTGGCCAAAAGTATATAAACTATAAATTTTATTACAACCAAGTATTGAAGTATTGGAGATGGGAAGTGGGCATACGGGGAACCAAAGAAAGAAGAAAACTAGCTACTGTGTGCCTCTTTAAAACTTTTCATTGTTGAAACAGGAAATACTGCATATTCAAATGTTAAATAAGTATCATAAATCAGAGGTACTAATAGAAATACTAAGTAGTGATTCGCTAATCATTGACATATACTACTTTGGCTTGGCCGGCTGAAGTTTGAAAGGTCTTGGTCTTGTGAATTAACATATGCAGTTTGGAGGCTCCTAGATGAAAGCCCTAAGCTTTGTTTTTAATGGGAGTTATTTTACATTCATCTATTTATTTGTGAAAGAATTTACGTATTTGGTGATAGGTTGGAAACAGTTTAGATCACTAAATAACAGAGCTACTATTTAATCTATTTATTTTGTGGGGACAAAGAATTTAGGAACTTCTCTACCAAGAAGGATAAATGTTTTAGGGTTTAAACAATTTTATGATTGCTATAATATTCCATGCTTTTGCTTGTGTACACATAGCTACAAGATAACATGTATATTCTAGAAATAGTTTATGTACTATAAACAGTAGATTTCTAACAATACACTAAACTATACAATATATTCAAAATAAACAATTAGGTAATTTCCTTTTATGTTGCCTTAGTTTTACTTATCTTTTCCTTTAATGATGATGTTTGTAAATATTTGTTATATTAAAAATCATTCACACTAAATTAGAATTAGACAAGATAAATTATTGACATGATTTAGCAAAATATAACTTGTAAAATTTGATTCTAACTGTAGTCATTAGAGAGCGTGGAACTCCAGTATTTTTTAAACCATGAGGGACTTTTTGCCTGGAAGGAACAGAAACTTGGAGAATCTATTTATAGGTGATACTTAATTTTGACCTTCACAAATTAAATCATTAATGTAAAGTTGTTAATGTAACAACAAAAAGGGGAAATAAAAATAACTTCATCAGCATAATTGTATTTGTTATCTTAAAGAGTCAAACATAGTCAGTAGAACTGTAAGTGTGAGAAGAGGAGAAAGCCAAGTGGAAATGGAGAGGGCATTCTGGGAGAGTGACAGTTGTTTCACTTGTTGCACAAATACGCTAAACAATAAAAGTGCAGAGATAAATGAGTTCTGTCCTCTGGGAGTTTTTGCCGTTGAAGGGGAGGCAGGTAGGGAGAACCTCCCAACGTAATGTAGTGAGGTGCTACCGTAGATAGAAGTGCTACAGAGCAGAGCAGTGATTGGTCCGTGGAGAGTTTAGGACGAAACACTGGACAGGTCCTTAGGAGACTTTGCATGGCCTTTGTCTTCCTTTCTTGGGTGTGTGCCTAGGAGTGGAAGTACTCAGTTGAATGATAAATTTATGCTAACTTTTTAGGAAACTGCCAAAATATTTTCCAAAGTAGCTGTAATGTTTTATATGCCTGCTAGCAATGTGAGTTTTCCCACTTCTCTGCATCCTTGCCTGCATTTTTTATTCCGTCTTTTTTATTATAACCAATTGTAGTAGGTATGTCGTGGCATCATGTGGTTTTAATTTGTATTTCCTTAATGACCGATAATGTTGAGCATCTTTTAATGTATTTATTATGCTTTCATGTATTTTCTTTGGTGAAATGTTTATTCAAGTCCTCTACCCATTTTCAAACTGGGTTGTGTTTTTTATTGAATTTATTGGGATTACACTGGTTAATAAAATTATATAGGTTTAAGGTATACAACCCTATAATACACCATTCCTATGGCATAATATGTGCTCCCAACCCCAAGTCATGTTTCCTCTATCGCCATTTATCCCCCCTTTAACTGGCTTGTGCTGTATTATTGAGCCGTAAGAGACACAAAAGACCATATATTATGTGATTGCATTTACATGAAAAGTTCAGAAAACACAAATCTTTAGAGACAAGGAGTATATTAATGGTTGCCTGGGGCTGGAAGGTGGGAATGGGAATTAACTGTAAGTGGGCACAGGGAACTTATCTGGATGATAATCATGTTCTAAAACTGGGTTGTGGTGATAGTCGCACAACTGAGTAAATGTACTAAAATAATTTCATCGTATACTTAGGACAGGTAAGTTTTAAAGCTGTTTTTAAAAAGATGAAAAGAGGTTCTTTAAAATATTAAGGAAGATTACTCTAGGAAAAAAGAACTGCATTTGCAGAGATACACAGGTGTATGAGGTCATTGGGGAAGGGAAAAACGTGTGGCTGAAATCAGGCGTGAGGGACGGAAGGGAAGAAGCCAGAAATGTGGGTCAAAGTTTCATTGAAAGGCCTTATATACTGTGCGGGGAGTTTATACTTAGTCCTCCCCAGGAGACAGGAAGAAACTTCCAGCAAAGTGGACTTTTTGTTGAGATTCTATTCTAAATGTAAAAGATAAATTTATACACAATGCTATTATTCCAGTGGTTTCACTCAAGTTTTTGTATAGGAAAAAAAGGAGACATGTCATTTTCTTCACTTATCCTAAAGGTAAACATTGGAAAACTGATGGCATCAGTAATGTATATTACAAGTCAGAGGAAGGACTTATAACATTCAGCCTGGAGACTTTTGGCCCTGTTGCTTTGATTCAGGATACTCATATTAACATGCCGTACCAGTCATGGGAACTAAGACCACTTGATGTGAATCAAGTACTGTTGACTGTGACTACAGTATTTACTGAGATTGAAATACAAATTAAGGTAAATCGCTGTTACAGCACATCAAATTGTATTTGTATTTGTTATAAGCAAATACGAATTTACCAAGAGGTAAACCTCAGTGAGGACTGTAAGAGTGTGTCAAAGTTATCGATCACTGGTAAATTACATATTGAATGTTTTTTAATAAATATATTTAACATATACCTTGAGCTATAATTTGTAAATGAAATATTCATTGAGTAGATAGAAAATGATATGTAAAAAAAGTGAGGCACAAATTTGTACCCTGAAGTTATCAGGAATAGACCCATTAATGAAGCTACAAGCCTGGTAGTAGTATGACTTTCAGAGAGTTCAACCCATTCCTGAGAGGCTTCGTGATCTTTATCACCAAGCCACTTGAAATCCCCTCTCAGATTTCTCTCTGAAGGAGCCTCTATTGCCTGTCACTCATAAATGACATGACCTAGATTTAGAGACATAAAGTACATTAGTGATTACCTGAGGCTGCAGGTAGGCATGAGGGATCTCATGCGGGCCGGGGCGGGGGCGGAGGGAGACTAAGAAAATGTTCTAAAACTGATTTATGGTGATAGCCACACCATTCAATAAAGTTACAAAAAATCATTATATGATGCACTTGAAATGGATAAATTTATGATATGTAAAATACACCTAGCTAAAATGGTTCTAAGAGAGATGGCCTGAAATCCCTTATGAATGTGGCAGGAAGACTAGATATCATCAAACTTTGCTTTTAAAAGCAGATGAGAGGTGTGAATTCTCTATACCTTCAAAGAGCCAGTTCAAACTTTGTAAACTTTAAAACTGTATGATGATTTTACATTATTATGTTAAATCTTATATGGGTAAAAAATTATCCTTAAAAGATTGTACCATGGCTGCTGTCAAATAGCTATTATTATTCAATAGAAACACATGCAGTTTTCTTAGGTTACAGCTTATAGAATAGGAGACCTGCAAGATCCTTTAGTCCAGTCCCTTGATTGTTCAGATTAAAGCCCAAGAACTGACAAACTGCTTAAGGTAACACGGAGACTTTGTGGGGGAGCTGTCAGAGTGGCTCCAGAATATGTCTGTCTTGCATTCTTTTTGATGTAGAATGAAATAGGATTTTTGAAAAGTGGTATAAAGAACCCCAGAGGCTAGAACACAAATGATAATGAAGTAATGACTTATTAAAAGCTTTTTTTCCTCATTGAAACTAGGGAGACCTCTGCATGTTAGCTTCAATTAAACTAAATAAACAAAAGCATTACTCTATTTTGGAAGGAAAATGGATGACTCTTATTTCTTTCATTATTGCTTTGAAAGAAGCTGGACTGAATATCTTTCCTACTGCTCACTCTCATTTTTATGTTGTTACAAACTATAAGGTAAGAGTCTTTCCAAATTTAATATAATGGACATTTAGGATGCTAGCAAGTTTTAACTTTTATATAAATCTTATGGTCCATTATGGGTTTTCTGTATTCACTTACATAAGATTATATATTTAGAAGGGAAGGAATAAATGGCAAGACCAGAAACTCAGGGTTCTCCCAAGTTTAACAATTTCCCCAAGAAAGTAAGCCTTAGAGTGATCTTCGTGTTGACAAATGGAGCACATCTGGCCCCACAGCTGGCTGGGGTCAGCGCAGAGATAGTCAGGGCAACTTCACATCTTCTACAGCTTCTTGCTTCTTCCAGACTGGATACATGTGAGATTTCTTAAAAGAGTAAGTGACTCAGCAGTTTCTCAACCATGATAAGTCATGTGCCATTAAACACACACAAACAACCAGTAGACAAAACCCACTTCCGCTTGTTTCTGGCAGAGCCTCCCTGTCTACAAACTGCTTTGTGTTATAAGGCTTTAGTTAAATGAGATCCTTCCATGCTAAGCTGTGAGCTCTTTGAGGATGGGGACTGTTTTCTAATCAACTTTGCTCGATTCTTCTAGCATCTAGCATACTCCTAGAATACAGCAGACATTCAATAAATGTTTATGACATGTAAATGAAGACAGTAGTTTCTAATCATGAAAGGTGTTTTGGGCAGACAAGTTCAATACTCAAGAACAAGTTCATAATATACCAGAAAATGAAAATGTAGGCAGACATTCATAAAACATCTGAAAAGAATTATATCAATAAGAATGTGTATATGTGTAGGACAAAATAAAACCACCTTAGTTTTAGTAACTCAAATGACCAGTTACTCTGCATATGCTGAATGTAGTGTACTATTAATCTTTTCGGAATATTCAAGAATTTCTTTTTCTGAACACCTATGTTCTAGGCATTGTTTTATTTGCTTAGGGTACAGTAGTGAATTTTTTTTTAAAAAAAGGTTCTTGTCCTTGTGGAGCTTATATTCTAGTAGAGGGAGGCAAAAATAAGCAACAAACATAAAAAATAAAATGGTCTCACGTCAGAGATGGATAAAGTGCTATGGGAAAAAGAAAATGTAGATCAGAAAACACTAGGCTCAGGGTAGTGCACAGTCTCAAATAGGATATTGGGGGCTCAGTGAGAAGATAAGATTGGAGGTGGGGAATTTCACCAAGTGGTGTCATAGGAAGCAGCTTCCAGGCTGAGTGGCCGGGGATGCTTGAATAGTGGAGGAGCAGCAAGGAGGCCAGGCGCCTTGAGCTGAGAGAGCAAAGGGAGAAGAAAAGACAAGGTCAGAGATAATGTGGTGTACTCGGGGGAGCTCAGGTCACGCAGATCCTTGTAGACCACTCTCGGGACTTGATTCTATTCTGAGAGAATGGAAACACCATTGCTTTGTTTTGAGAGGAATCATGTAACCTGACTTACATTTCAAGTGGATTTTTCTGTGTTGAGAATAGACTGTAGGAGGCCAAGAATGGAAAGGACAGTTGTTGAGAAGGCTCTGTGATCAACTGTTTGTTTGTATATTGTGACAGGTGCCTTTGGTAGAAATGAAAGCTTATCGACAAATGGCTCTGCTAAGTCCTGCTTTTGCATTTGGTTGGAGCAGGTGGAATATGCAGTGTGGTTCTAAAAATGTTGTATTTAAGGTATAGTATGCAAAGACCCGCAACACTACTTTGTCCTTTAAAGGAAAAGGTACTCAAAAGATAAATGAATGTAGACCATGATTTCTATTCTTAATTAAAGGTGAAAAAATTGCACTCAAAATAGTTTTAAAACTTTTTAAAAAATTGTCAAAAATATAAAACTAAACAATGAATAGTTCTACTTTCATTATCTATTATGGTACCAAATGCTCTTGATTTCAGACTAGAATAGTATCTCTTCATAGTGCCTCAAGAACAATAGAAGCCTTTAATGTGAATGTATTTATGATTCACAAACTCCTCTGAGAGAGTGAGGCCTCCAGAATTCTAAAAGCTGACTGACAAATGTTTTAGTGTAAATTAGCCACCATATTTATTTGGTTTCTCCCAGTAGAATGTAAGCTCCTTGAGTTTACAATCAATGCAAGCTATTGATTAACTTGATCAATCATCATTATTGATTAATATTCTTTTTTTCCTTTGTTTTGTTGTTATTGTTATCACATCCCCAGCAACTAGAATAGTATCTGGCACATAATAGCCACTCAATAAATATTTCTTGAGTGAATTAATACATTTTGATAAGTTCTATAAACATCAATATTTAAGGTACTGAGTTGAGCCCTTTATATGATACTATCCTGCCCAAAATAACTAATAGAAGAGGATTTCTCTGATTTTCTTTCTTTAGGTGAGTGAACACCTTACTAATGAAGAGAAACCTATTCCAGACCCTAATTGGGCCCTTTTAATGTTTAATGGTGACAGAGCACAAAGGCTCAAGATTGACGAGTATAGTGAGGTGTTCTCTGAAGCCGTTAAGGAAGACACTGAGTTTCACTCCACTGTCTATCACATGGTTAAAGATTTTGCTTCTGAAGGAGCAATAGAGAAAATCAGGAGCTCCACCTGCCAGTTTATCGATTCTGTGTGCCATATGCTACTCTCGATTAGATTACTCAGCTATTCTTAGTCTCTGTGGATACATTTTATGCAGTATGAAGAATCAAGCAACTTGGAGAAAAATCAGGTATTTCCTCAATAAAATGTAGCAAGTGAATGTATTTCAAATAGGCTGCTAAAATGATCTAATCAGCAATAACACTCAAATTTTGTTTTAAATGTGAGTTTTTTCCCCTATGAGTACCAGCCCACTGAGAGTTAGCTTTCACTGTATGAAGATTTAATGATTCTTTATTTCAATAAATTTTAACAAATAATATATAATATCTTCTCAAAAAGCTCATTAAAAGTACATGGGGAGGTATTCACACACAAAAAAAAGGGAATTTAAAAATCTTATAGTCATTCTGAGAACCTCTAGTTGCAGTCTCTACTCTCCTAGCTAAAAGTTACCAATTTACAAAATTCAGATACGGAAACTTTAAAAATCGAGATACACACGTTAGGATGTTCTACGGTCACACTGGCGGTGGACCATTGTGTCGGAGTTGGGTAAATGGCCACAAGAGGTGTTCTAGAGACATCCAGGAGTCCCCGTCCTGGGTGGGAGCAGCATCCACAGACTTCTGGAAAAATCGGCCTGTGAGGAAGCTTATCAAAGCTGCAAATAGCACAATTAACACCACAGAGAGCCAGAGAGCCCTATTCGCCTTCCCGATGGAAGTCTTGAGATTTGTTGCCCAGGAAGCCATCGTGTCGTAACTATAAGGGAAACAAATTCAGAATTTGGTCGTCACAGCAGTCTGTTATTAGAAATACTCCCTCTGTCAGCCATACCAATCAGGTCAACGACCTGCCATGTATAACCCCAACACCGCTCTGTAGTGAACTACATAATGTAATCTGTTGTTTGGCTTTGGCCGCAACCTGCCTCACTGCCTGATCATTGTTAGAATTAAAGAAATAACGTGTTATGGCGAGAATCTGAAAGTTATATGATTTAGGCATTATGTTGTAACTCCTACCAAGTACCTACACACAAGTATATCATTCTTTCAATCAGGCAGGATGTGTCCCTACAGTCTGAACAAGTATTTATTGAGTAGAATACATGTGTACATATGAACACGTCACTTATTTCTTACCATACCTTAGATTTTTTTTTAGTGAACTGAAATTTAAACTCTCTTTCTTTTAGAAACACCCACCAAAAAACTTTTTACAGCATCATTTAAGTTTTTGAAAATCACTAACTCTGGACTAAACACTGTACTAAGCATTTTACACATACTAATCCATTTAATGGTGACAACAACACAATGGCTTAGGTACTAGTCTCACCCCAGTTGTTTTGTTTTGTTTTTAATATCTTTTTTTAAACATACTTTATTGATTATGCCATTACAGTTCTATTTCCCCCCTTCATTCCCCTCCACCCTGCATACCCCCTCCCCCACCCTTCCTCCCTTTAGTTTATGACCATGTGTCTCAAGTTCTTTAGATTCTATATTTCCCATACTATTCTTGCCCTTCCCCCTATCTATTTTCTACCTACCATCTATGCTACTTATTTTCTGTACCTTCTCCCCCCTTCTCCTCCTCCCACTGCCCTGTTGCCAACCCTCCATGTGATCTTCATTTCTATGGTTCACTCCTGATCTAGCTGTCCTCTTAGTTTGCTTTTGTTTTAGGTGTGGTTCTTAATAACTGAGTTTGCTGTCCTTTCACTGTTCATCTTTTTATCTTCTTTTTCTTAGGTAAGTCCCTTTAATATTTCATATAATAAGGGCTTGGTGATGATGAACTTCCTGAATTTGATCTTATCTGAGAAGCACTTTATCTGTCCTTCCATTCTAAATGAAAGCTTTGCTGGATAGATCAATCTTGGATGTAGGTCTTTGGATTTCATGACTTGGAATACTTCTTTCCAGCCCCTTCTTGCCTGTAAGGTCTCTTTTGAGAAATCCATTGACAGTCACCCCCGTTTTATAGATGAAGAAGCCAGTGCTGAAAGATGGATGAACGGGCCCCGTCTCACAGCCAGTTAGAGAGCTGGAGTTGAGCCGGGGCCATCTGGCCGCAGGGCCAGGTTCCAGCACTGAACGCTCCTGCCTGTTGTAACTCATAGGTTCAGGGATAACCCCTGGAGATCATATGAAGTTCGTTATTCATCTTAAATTTAGGGATAACCCCTGGAGACCATATGAAGTTCGTTATTCATCTTAAATTTAACAACTTGGCAGGCCTTTCAGTAAAGTGATTTAATCAAGAGGAATAAATACTGTTAACCCTGCCTTACCCTTCCCGATTCCACTAAAATGATACAATTTGGCAGACAGACGACTTACATTGAAGAGGCATCCCATTTTGATGGATTATTTCTCTTTTCAGAAAAACTTGGCTTTCTTGTCCTTTCTTCTATTTCTTCTCCAGGTGGTTCTGAGTCATCTTTAGTTCTGTAAATAAGTATTTTTTCAAAATATTCAAAGCTAAAGATAAAATGCTATAAAGCATTGCTAAATTTTACTGCATTAATAAACATACTCACAAATATTTGCTTTGCTTTAGAACGATTTGATAAATATCTATTTATAAATATCAAATCACCAAATTTATATATTTAATCATTTTGTTTTCATTAAGTAGAATTCTACCACATGGGCTTCAATAACCTATCTTAGTTGATTTTACTCTTTGTAGGTTTTTTGATGAATGCTAAATTGGAATAACTTAAGTGTTATTTCTCCTCTTTTTCCAAAAATACTGACTTTAAAATTGCTTGTGAAAATATTCTCAGTGTAAAGCTAGTTAAGATATGCTAGCAGTATTCAGTGATCTGGCAAATAGCAATTGAATTGATGTTATTTGAAATAAAATCATAGTGTCTATAGGAGGATTCCCTTACCTGAACAAAACTTTGTTGCATTACTATGTTTCTGGATGAATTCCTAGTTTGATTTGAGTTTTGTTATCTCCAGCTCATAATGCCCTTGCAATTGCCAAAGGGAACTGTGTCTCAAAGACAGTGCTTTAGTCAAACAAACACAGGGAATGTATGTGGTTTGACCGCAGTTTAGCTTTGAAAGGAAACAAAGCCCAGAAGCCAGGATCAATTGCATTCTTGTAAGATTCTCAAGGCTTCAGTCTTTTGTTTACAAAGACTTCCCAGTAAAAAAAAACAAAAAACCACACAAAAAAACCATAGTAACTAAAAGCAAGTAATAGATTGTTTTATTTTGTAGGGAAACTCTTGATTTTTTCCCCACCCCGGATCACAGAATATCTATGATGGTAACTCCTAAAAGAGTTTTCAGTGCATGCAGCAGGATTATTTAAACACACACAAGAAACACAAGAAACTTTCAGGGGTGTCCAACCTTTTGGTGTCTCTGGGCCACACTGGAAGAAGAGTTGTCTGGGGCTACACATTAAATACGCAAGCATTAATGAAAACTGGTGAGCGAAAGAAAATGGTTTTAAGTAACTTCACGATTTTGTGTTGGGCCACATTCATAGCCATCCTGAGCTCATGCGGCCCGTGGGCAGCAGATTGGACACCCCGGAGGTACTGTGTCTTTACTGTGTCTTGTACTCATCTTTGTACACCTTAGCTTGAGTGCAGTGTCTCTTACATAGCAGGTACTCAGTGAACATGTGTAACATGAACGTAAAATAATTTCACTAAGCTCTCTACAGATGAGAAACTGAGACCAAGTAAGTTTAAAGCGATTTGTCCAATGTTACCCAACGACTTAGAGGCATTCGTTCATGTCTCTGCTTCCTGCCCTCGCCCTTGTGCTTTAGGAGTATGTTTTAGTTAACTTGCTAGCTATAGAGATAGTAATGTAGAGTTTTATGTTTTCCCTGCTCTTTATGTAAAGGAAAAATATATGTAATGCACATATATTACATATGTGCCTACATTTTATATACTATATATATATATTTCATGTATTTTTTTAAATGAACATTTTACTTCTGTGGCTCTTTATTCACCTTCCCCCCTGCTCGCCAGATACCTAGACAGGAAAAAAATTATCTTCACAAATCTGGCAAATTTCAGGGTTTTTTCTCACTTAAGATCCCAACCCTCACAGTTCTGAGCACTGCAAGAGTGAATGTGTTCACAAATAGCATTTACATAGTGCCTTATGGTTTGTACGTCTTAAACAATGGCCTGTCCTTTTGATGATGCAGCATTGATCTCATTTCCATAGAATTACAATGACCCCCTCTGTTCATGCCCCAGCTCACATCAGGTTAGCAAACACACCAAGCTTCACCTACTTTAGCTCACATTTTTCTTCTTCACCATCTGCCCAGGAATAGGTGCTGATAAATCGATGTAATGAGGGACGGTGTTCACTCTGCTTTGACCCCAAAATACGCCTACATAAAGATGATTATATCCACTTGTCAAATCACATACATCCATAGCCATTATTAATTTATTTCCCACTGCCTAAATCAATATGACAATTATATGTTCTAATTATTTTCCTTGGCACTCATACAACACTTCTAATAAAACAATTTCATGGTGTGCCAATTTTTATAACTGTTCTGCTTATACCAAATTCACACATTTACTTTAGCACAGTTCAAAATAGCAAAGTGCCCAAAGAGCAACAGTGTAATCACACTTACCAACTGCTTGACCTCCTACTGAATCGGTCATTGTTTTCCAGCCCAGCCACCTTTAATGTTCCCGTGTTAAAGAAATGACAAAATTTGAATTTAGTGAAATAAGCTTATATTTTTGTTACATGAAAATTAATTTGCTTTTGACAGAACATTTAGGGCACGGCTTACCATTGCTGCATTTCCAATATTCCTGGGTAAAGAAGCGATTGTCACTCTTCGAAGAGAAGATGGCTGTTTAAAAGGGGAAAATAGACATTTAGAAAACTCCTAGTATTTTATCCTTGAATGCAACACTGATGAATATCCTTGTACATACACATCCATGCACTTGAGTACTACTGAGGAAAACAGTAGACATTTTTAAAAGGATTTTGTTATGACCAAATTGCCTTCTAGAAATAGCCATTGACATTGCACCATCCCAACTGGGGTGAGTATGATTTTTGCCAAATAAGGAGTATAAGCTTTCTTGTTTAGGTTGTCTTGTAGTAACACCCAATACTTTCTCTATGTTAAATAACCATATATCTCTATCTATGTGCTCTGAGAACCACCTGCTTATGATCTATGGCCATACACCATCATCCTTATCATCTATG